TAATTTCCTGACACTCAACTAAAAATAGAAAACACTCATCCCATTTTTGTGCTATTATAGCACAACTACAAGTTTATTCACAACAGTAACTCTGACAATTTATAATGTAGGAAATGAAATTTCCTTGTGGAAAAACAAAGCCCTGACCCTCACTTCCTACCCAGTATCCATTATATTAGTTTATGAGACAGTATTTATAAATGGTGGAGTACTTTGTCTTGCAAGATTTCAAATAAAATGCTGCTCTAAGCAATTGTACAGCTTTTTAAAAGCTTCTCCCACAATAAAGTAAAGCTCTACATTTTTTTTGTAAAAATAAGAAACTATGCAAAGGGTTACATCCTTTTTAAGGTCTCCTGGTTACACTGGACTGCAACTTGCCTAGCAAAATAAATTATAACCCACTCACCAACAAAATATTTACAATTAGACTCCAGCTACATTCCAAGAAATATTAATGCTTACATTTGACAAGAAATCAGAGTAATTCGAGAACCGTTTTATGAACCCTCTGTGTAGGAAAAAAAATGCAGTGCAAGCCAAAAGCAATTCAGGGTTTGAGGGCTGTTTTTCTGAAGTTCTGTGTACTCAGCTTGTCGAAAGATAAAGCAAAAATGTCAACTGTAATAAACTGAATGCTAGCAACAACACTGAGATTAAAAAATATCTAAAGCATGATAATCAGGAAAAAGATCAGCAGAACTCAGTTATTAGCCCCATGGAAGCCAGTCATGCCTTAATATTTCTGTCAGTAGAGGCTAACCTTAAACAAGCTTGAAAATGAAGAAATAGATACAACAGCCATACAAATTAAGATAATACTCCAAAGCCTACAAACAAAAAATCTGTAACACATGAATTTTAGCATTACTATTTGTACTGCAGAAGCCACAACCAAGGTGTGGCTCCATTTTGCTAAGCACTGTATGCACTGACTGCTCTGAGAAAAGCTGACTAACTAAACACACAATGGGGATGAGGATCAGAGGTGAAATGACTTGCCCAAGGTAACATAGCTGGGAACAGACCCCAGGTCTCCTGACTTCCAGTAGAGTGCCCTATCCATTAAACCACACTGCCTCCATCATGAAGCATATAATTTCACTAGAAGGTCTTTAAAATGAAGATGGAATTTGCATTTCCAGATTAACACAGATTATTCTGTGTTAATCAATCAATTTTAGCTGGACAAGGTGGGTGAGGTAATATCTTTCACTGGACCAACTTCTGTTGGTGAGAGAGACAAGGCTCCGCACCCTCCCCACCCCCACATTCCTTTCTGCCTCTGGGCCTGTATGTGGCCCCAGGCTAATTAGGCTGGCAGCTGTTTCCCATTTGCCAATGGTGCAAGTTTCTCTAGACAGCTCCAATTTACCTCCCTTAATTGGAGCTATCGTGCAAGAGGGCTGGCTCAGGAGTTCCTGCCTAGTACCCTGTCAAAATGACACTCTCCCAAACAGAAGAGGCATCTGCTGTATCCATCTTGTAATTAAATTAGCCCATTGCAGACCTTGAAGCCACAGGTTTACAGTCTGCCTGTTAAGGCACCCTGTACAGGGTGAGTATATAAGGGGACTGTACAGGAGAGTCTCATCATCCTGCTGCAGGGGTATCGCAGCTGCCACATTCTTTGTGCCCTCGTACGGGAGCATGAGGAGGCACAGGGTGCATGCATAGCCTATCAGTTATTGCTATTCATTAGACTCTGATCTTGCACACATTAGGGACAAGCACACCTACAGTGGGATCCATACTGACATACTCAAAGAACTCAGAGTTAAGGCAGATAATGCCTTGAAATTTTTAATCTCTCTCTGGCTCAGTGACCTTTACACTTTGAAGAGCTAAGAGCAAGGTAAACTGGCTTAAAGGTCTTCACTGTCCTGAGCTATTAGCCTGTATCCTTGTAGCCATTCGAAACATAAGGAGCTGAATCCTAACCCATGAATTTAGTGACTTGGACAATTTAGGAGCTCACCGAGGCACTGGAAGACAAGAAAAAGACCTAAGCCTGCAAGAGCTCCTGCAGCCCTTACAAAAATATGCAGAACCATGGTTAGTGCTTATGGTTTTCAAGGAGTTTTTCCAGAGTAAGGATTGCAGGTTGATAGCTTGGGCTCGGTTCTGAAATCCTTACACAGCACGAGGCTGTGAACCTTATTTTTGCACTCTGCTTTCCAGTCTGAGCTGACACCATTCTTTTATATAATCCCAGCTGGTAGTCACATGATTCAGTCACCTGTCCTATTCCCCACCCCCACCTCCAAAAATCCCAACTCCTGGTGATCCTTCCAGGAACTACCGGTCCCAGAAGACCTGTTCATAAAAAGAGGTTCCATTTGGAGGTTCCATAAAAAGAGGTTGGCTGGCCCTGTCCCCTAAGAGGACCAAGACAACCCTGTTATAGCCCTATAATATTTAAACTTGTCCATTACACAATGTAATTATGACACAGGCAAAAAAATTTAGTGTAGGACCTTTAACTCATTGCAAGTATTTTATATTACAATGCAAAAAGTGGTCCCTCTACTCTTTGCCTCTCCTTCTTTCAATTATTGCATGAGTGTATTTTTTAATTCAAGTAAATTACTGAAATAGCATGAAATGAATTTAATACAAATAGTTATATGTGCAACCAAACTGATAAGTATAAAGCTAATCAAGGATATTTGAAAAATCTGCCACTAAATATTGTTACATGAGTATAACTGGATTAAAATTAAAAATAAGATTCCAGCTACAATTAGGGCTTGTCTACACTTACGGTGCAACTGCACTACTGTAGCGCATAGTGAAGACATTAACTACGCCAACAGGAGAGCTTCTCCCATCGGTATAGGTCTACACCAGCAGTTAGGTCGATAAAACCCATGAGCAACACAGTTATATTGACATAAGTTTGTAGTGTAGACCAGAGCTAAGACTGCAACAAAAACACTACAGAAAAAGAGAAAACTACATTTTGTTTATAGCTGAAATACACCATTTTAAAAGAGGACAATTCTTATTTCCATCTAGTACAAAGTAACTTTTGTTAAGAAAATGGACAACTAAGTGGATACCCACAGTTAATGACCAGAACATAGATATGGCAGAAGTCATATGAACTGCAAATGAACACACAGCCAATGATCCTGTGAATTCTTATTCACAACAGTAACATTCATGTATAAAGTTATATAATATGTAAGAGTGTGCAAATGGAGGTTTCCTAAGTCTTGAAGAAGAGCTCTGTGTAAGCTTGAAAGCTTGTCTCTCTCAACCAACACACGTTAGTCCAATAAAATATATTATCTCACCCACCTTGTCTCTCTAATATCCTGGGACCAATGCAGCTACAACAACACTGTATACATTAATATTTAATGACATTTGAGGAGGGTTCTTTTGTTTACTTTTCTTAAGGAAAAAATTGAGTTTCAGGTACCTGAACAGTGAACAATAGTAGAAGCGTGTCAATGAAATTCAGACCCGTGTTTTTGTTTTCTGTGTATTATATTTTTGTTTGTATAATTGTAGGTACCATAAATGCTCAAGATGCACAATATTATGATGCTACAGTCCAGAAAACTATTTATAGTTCTTCCTGAGGTCTTCAAAGCATCTAGTACAATATTGCACATGAAAGTGAGTTGGTTTAGACGTTGCCTCATACTTAAACCTATGAAAAGACTTAGGATGAGTGTACAAAGCTTCTTCCTGACTTTTGTTATGAGATAGCTATCAACTGGCTGGAGAAAAACAGCCCTAATTTGTGTCACAGGCTAAAGCTGCCTCCGTAGCCCCAAAATCAGGGGAGCACAAGAGAGGGGAGCAGGCACCATTCTCTGTGCTGTCTGGTCCGGCACAAAGCACAAGGAAACTGAGTGACACTGAATCTGGCCAGAGGTGTTGATCAGTAGCCCAAGTACAAGCTCTCCTGAGAATATTTACGGCCTGGACTACACTTCAAAACTGGATCCACCTAGCTATGTCACTCCAGGCTATGAAAAAATTTTGCTCCCAACACTGTAGTTGGATCAACCTAACCCCCAGTGTAGGCGTGGCTAGGTTGATGGAGGTGGATTAATTACAGTGACAGAAAAACCCCTTCTCTCAACGTAGGAAATGTATACACAATGGTGCTACAGTGGCACAACTATGCCCTTAATGTGTTTGGGAGGGACTTAAAGCAGAGAGAGCACCTCTTGATTGGGAAAATGAGTGGTGATGCAAATGTGTAATTTTTAACTGCCACTTAGCCCCTATATAGACCTAGACAGTGTTAAAAAATATGTTAGCCGATTGTGGTTAGTACTAAGATCTACCCAATCCTGACTGACTAAACCATTTTTAAACATCACAGTCTCTCTCTTAGTAGGTGCTAAGTAGTGTTTAAAAATGTTATTAACTAACCTGCGTTAGCCAATAGGTTTTAAACAGTCACTCATCTTCCCAGTCTAGACAAGGCCAAAGATAGAAACCGCAATCTGACTGGGAATTTAAGCTTAGCTTACAGATAAATTTTCTATAAGTATATCTATTTCAGATAGGGGGTGTAATTTTTTTTAAACCATAATTGTTAACCCAGTCCATCCCCTCGTGTGGATGCTGTTATATTGATATAAAGATGCCTTACACCAGTACAGATATTCCTATATGAGAAGAGGAATAAGCTATACTGCTACACAGCACTCTTATACAGCACTAGGGGCTTGTAATGCTTTAGCCATACCAGTACAATTAAAATGGCACAATCTTTGAGTGTAGACAAGCCCTTACACCCACAACTGGTTTTAATTGTGCTTTGAAAGAGCTGTCTCATCTGCGTGAGTTTTGTTCCTTTAATTTCTCTTTATTCAAAAGCATTAAACAGAAAGTACATGGATATTGTGTATAAAAAGACTGTATCCTGAGTCAGTCACCACTCACTTCCCTCTCAACGAGGAAGAAACGTATTCCTGAATGCCTGAAAGCTGAGACAATAGGAGTACAGAAAATAAACCAACAAAATTACTTACTCTCCCCAGTTCTTTGGTGGAAAGCTTGTATGGAATGGCAGGTTTCTTCAGCCCTTGCTACTAACACCAGCAGCACTCACCCTCTGAGGACACACGCTGAAGAAATTAACCTATAAATGCGGGTGGGGGGAAAAACAGAAGTATGTCACATACAAGCCAGAAGTTATCCAAAAGCTCTTCTAAACAGTGAGCAGAGGAGAAATAAGTAAAAACAGCTAAACTCCTGAAGATGAGAGTCCTTACAGCAACACAACAGTTGGCAGGGTAGCTCAAACCAGTGGCTTCCACTGGATTTAGAAAGCACTACAGCAATTACTTGTAGGTCCCCTTGGAAAGTGTCCACGTTAAAAATGCACTCCCTTGGATGAATGGGGGAAGAATGGAGGTAAAGGGAGACCTGGATCTATAATCATATAGTAACCCAGAAAGACGCGTCCTCAGTTTGTGCATGTCATTAGTACAATGTCTCCTGCAGGAGAAATCATAGGTTGGTATGAGACACAATGACATCTAAAGCACGTAAGGTATAGTAGTTGTAAACTCAAATGGACAAATGACCTTTTAAATTATCTCCATCTCCACATCACTTTACAGATGCCTGTATTCTTTCCCATACTCCAAAGCATATTTTTTTATAAAATTAACAATTCCCTTCCCCAATATTAAGGATCAGTATGAAAATAAAACATGTGCCTTTAAAAATTAACGCAGATGAATACCAAACCCTGAAAAAGGCAAAGTCACTAACACCAGGTTTATAACATAACATTAAAAGTGTTTTCGGTTTGGTTCTTAAAGGAACCAAGCAACTAGTCTATTTTTTGGAAAAGGAATAAATGTATTTGGAAACAGTAGTCTTGCAATCTGTACACTGTATGTCAGTCCAGATCCCAACAGTATGGTCTCTCCCACTCTAGACAAATGATAAAGGGTGAGGCTTTTGAGTATTGAAAATATATTGGAATCTTTAATACAGTTGTAGAAACAAGGATTCTTTCTACCACAAATACTAGGCGTTTCTCAAGTGCGGCCACCGTGATGTATGCGACCATCAGGGGCTTTTCTTGTGGCCACAGCCTCCTGGGCTGTGATGGAAGGGGGGCAAAGTAGCGGCCCTTCCCCCTCCCTGGTGCTCCTGCATGCACCACCTTGGTGTTGATTGCTGGGGCCAGCAGCAGGAGTTGGTCCCTGCCCCTCTCTGGAGACACTTAAGGCACAGTGCTGTAGGAGCAGGCAGTTGGTGAGTTCCCCACCTTCCCAGGGACAGTGGGGCTCAGGGTTTGGGCTTCAGCCCTGGGGTGGCAGGTTCTGGACAAGGGGCTTCAGGCTCCAGGCCCTCGTTGCCTCCCTCAACCCCCCCATCCACCCACCCCCATTGCCCCTGGCCCCCGCTGCCTCCCCAACCCTCCCATCCAGGGCTTACTTTGTCCCCAGGCTTGACAGCGCTGAGTAAGTCTCCTGTGAAAAGTGATACTTGCATGTTGTTAATATCACTTTTCACAAGAGGCATCCTAGCTAGCACTAGATAGATTACAATGATTTGGACATGTATATGCACATATTTATTTGTTTTTCCTAAAGCTAATTAAGTATTTTAGGGAAACGTGTGGCTACACTCCGAGGCGATCAAAAAAATTGTCTTGAGAACCCCCTAGAGACAACCCAACGACAACAGATCTACACAAAACAGATACTTATTTTACAACAAGAAAACACATGTTCAAAGTAACTAGATTTCTAGGTTGGAAGTTACCATTTCTACTTTATATCTGGAGCCAGGCAATGTGGGATATGTAAATATGATAGACCCGAAGATCCAAATCTTATTCACTGCACTGTTTTAAAATACCCCCAACAACAAAAATACACTTTTTCTTTAGCAAAAGCAGAACTCTAAATCAAACCAAAGTTCTGTCTGTTTTTAAAAGAGAAATGAAACCTCTCATGTCCATTTAAAGCGGTCTTGTTCTGTTAGAAGTCCATTTACTATAAATCCCCCAAAGTACCAAAATGCAACATATCATTTGCAAGAGATGACTGACATTACAAGAACTTTTTTTTTTCTTAGTCACACTTCTAAACTTGATGCAACGCAAAATGAACTTAAAAAAAAATGGTATCACCCCTAAGATGTTTCAAAGAAAAAGATCAATAGTGAAACTCATTATTTCTAATTATAGAACTTCAAATTCCCTTTTTAGTTAAACCTACAGAACGTTTCATCCATTCATGTTTACAGGGAAAAACAGAAGAGAAACAAACTGCCCAACTTCCTGATCCATCAGTTAAAATCGATGTCCATAACTAACAAGAATATTAGTCTTCAGTGTTTAAAAACACTAGGTTATACGCAATACAGCATTAAACTTCAAGCTATCATCAGGTGACTGAAGATTTTTCTCTGCTTTTGACTAGGTCCACCTACAGAAAACATTTTTGTTCAAGGATAAGAGATAAGGACCTAATCCTTTTAACACTTGCGTACTTGCTCAACTTTATACACGAGTAATGATTTCAAGGGGACTACTCATGAGTATAAGCAGTTACGCATTTGTGTTTGCAGAAATAGAGGCCTAAGTCTGAAGACCATCAAGTTTACCCCTCCAGGTTCTAAAGATGAAACCCAATCTACTCTAAAGTGAGCCCAACTAAACTACAGACCTTACAACAATAATTTATTTATTTTTTTAAATAAAAATGGACAGATTAAAATGCATTTCATGTCTATAACTAAACATGGAAGCAGGAGCGCCGCCAGCTTTTCTGCCGCCCTAGCCAGCGGAAGATCCCGCCCCGAAATGCCGCCCCCACAGAGGCGGCGGAAGGGCCTGCCGCTGAAGTACCGCCGCGGTCGGCACCCCCCCAAATTGTAGCGCTGTAGGCGACCACCAAGGTCGCCTAATGGGTTGCACCAGCCCTCCATGGAAGCAATTTAAAAAAAAAAAAAAGCTTAAACAAATCTGTTGTGATTGAAAATTTATAAGACAAGATTAACACCAACACCTCTCAGTTCAGGATTATTTTCATTAGTAGACAGCAGAACAAAGAAGCACTACAGATACAAATCATCATACTTCCCTAAGAAACAAAGAAACACCAAGTACACAAAAAAACCAGGGTTTTCCCACCATCACTTCCATAGTTAGCCAACGACAGATTTGTTGAAATCTCCCTAAATTTGGAAAGTGCACCCATAATGTGGTGTAATTACATTCAGCACCTTGAATTTAAAAACCAGGATAAACAAGATCAGTTGGGGGCATGTGCCCACATAAGGAGGAGGGAGAGCTATTAAATGATGGCTCACCAGACCATCTGCAGAGCTTGGTAACAGAACAGGGCTGGCTCTCAGCAAAAAAAAGTGCAACCCGCCGAGCGCCGCGCCGCCGGACCCCCCCCCCGAGCGCCGCCCCC